GTCGAAGAGTCTTGCAGTGGGCAAGGGCAAGGCAAGCGTCAGAATGGAGGATGCTTGGAATCGAGCATGTATGTGTGTGTGTGTGTGTGTGTGTGTGTGAGTGTGTGTGGGTGCGTGCGTGTGTGTGTGGGGGGGGGCGGTGTGTGTTGCAACAGGGGCAGGGCAGGGTGTGCTCACCATCCAGGGGGGGCAGCGGCGGCAGCGCGCCCGCCGCCCCGCCGGCGCCGGAGCCAGTGGGCGCGTCCTGCACGGCGCCCGCACGTGCGACGCAGCTGCGGCTCATCCGCGTCTCTGTCCCGGGCTGCGCGGCGGCGGCGCCAGCGGGCGCGGGCGCAGTCACACGGCGACGTGGCGCGACCGTGGCGCGTGAGAGCGCAGCCACTGCGGGGGCCACGCAGCCATATGCCGGGCCAGGGTGCCTAGAACGCCCATACGCCGCCGGTTGGCTGCACAGGGCGAAGCCCATTGGTGTCGATATGCTTTGAAGGAACGTCCCTATAGGTTGGCGGATCGATGGAGTTCGACGCTGTGCTATGGATAAATTTGTGATCAAAGCTCAGATCTGTGGGGCTGAAAGCAATGGGGTTGTGCTTCTCAACAGGTTGGTGGACCATGGGTGAGTGAGAGAGCCAGGGTGCGTGCCAGGTTGCAGGGTGAGGTGGCCGAACGACAGGGGTTTCAAAAGGCAATACGTAGGTACTGACACCTTTATCGTGTACCGAATCATACATGTATGATGCACACTATCCACATACCAAGCTTCATTTGTGATCACAACCGTAGCTGCTGAGGGCAGACTACATATTCGGGACTCATAAGTGGTAACCAAGTCAGTGCTCATCCCCAGCACGGCGGCGCGCCGCGCATAGGGGCTGCTTGTCCCGCGGGCGCAAAGAAGCACGCCGCCGTCTCCGCCGTTTTGAGTGACCGTACCGAAGAAGAGGGCGGCGCGCAGCAGCAGCGGCAAACGCCGTGCAGACTCTCACACAACACAGCCGCGCAGGCGCCGCCTTAGCGGGAGCCCTCGCCAGGCGCTCTCTCAAATGACAGAGGGCGTCGCCGCCAAAAAGCAGCCGGCCCCTGCCGTGGCCACGACGGGCGGCGGCGGCGGCGGCGCCTTGTCCCACGCGCTCCACGAGCGCGTCCTCGCGCCGCTGGTGTGCGCCTCTTTCGTCGGCGCGATACTCGCGTCGACGCTGCTGTGCAACGCGGCGGTCGCCGCGGTGCTGCTGTGGCCGCGCTGGGCGCCCGGCTGGACGCTGCTGGCGCTCATGGTGCGCTCATGATGGCCACTCCGCGGCCCTCATGCATGCACGTGTGGTGCTGACTTGCTGTGACCCGCATGCGTGATGGCTGTTATGTTGCATGCACCTAGGCCGCAAGCCGGCAGCTGCTGACTCTCACGGCCCGGGGCTCAGGCCCGCCGCTGCCGTCCGCCGCCACGCAGCCATCGATCGCGCCGACAAAAACAAACAACATCAACAGCGTGCTGCATGCGGCACCGCGGCCGACGCCGCCTGCCCTCCACTCGCAGCGGCAGCGCCGGCGACGCACACACCCCGTGGAAGCTCACTCGCCCGCGCCCGCGCACGACTCGCCCAGGCCGCGCTGGCGCTCTCGCCCATTGGCGGCGACACGCCGCGCTGGGCGGCCGCATACATCTCTTACGCCTGCCGTGCGGCTGCCGGGTACTTCTCCGCCACCCTCGTCCTGGAAGACGAGGGGGCGATCGCCGCAGACAGGCCCTACATCATAGGTGGGACTTGCGCAGCCCAGCGGCGCTGCAATGCAAGGTCAGGGTTGGATGGCTGCCGCCGCGCCTGCGGCGGGGGCGGGGCGCCCAGGCGTGGATTTGTTGTTACCTCGCCGTGTGTCGCCCGGTCGGGGGAAGCAGGGTGCCCCCCGATCCCCGGGGTTTCCGTCGCTGCCGGTTCGGCTCGGGTTCGCGTCATGTGATGTCTGCCTGTGAAACGGGGCCAGCGCGGGCTGTGCTGCACGTGCGGCGTCGCTGCGCACGACACAGCCCCTAATCGCTGCCGCCGCCCTCCCCCCTCTGCCGCCGCAGCCCTGGAGCCGCATTCCGCGCTGCCCACTGGCGTGCCCGTCGCGTTTGGCACCTACTCCGCGCTGCTGCCGCCCTCGCTGCAGGGCCGGACGCACGGCCTCGTCTCCTCGGTTTGCTTCAAGGTGTGCGCCCCTGAGCGGCCGCCGCTTTGCTCTTGTTGCTTGCGGCACGTGGCGTCTGTTGCTACGCCGCTCGGCGGCGGGTGGGCTGTCGCGGCCCCCTTCGACCCGCGCACCCAGTGATCTCCGCCCTTCCGCCGTACCCCCCTTCTCAGGCTGCCGCGTTCATAATGATGCTTCCCACACGATCCCTTCTGTACCCTATCTTTGTTTCCCTGACAACCGCCTCGCGTCTCGGCCGCCGCTGCGCCGTGTGCCGCGCGCTGCCCGCAGTTCCCTATCGTGCGCCAGCTGTACCGCTGGTGGGGCTTCCGGCCTATCACCAAGGGCAGCATGCGACGCCTGCTGGCCGCGGGCAGGGCGGTGGTGCTGGTGCCGGGCGGTGTGCAGGAGTGCCTGGTGATGGAGCATGAGGGGGTGGAGGTGGCGTTCCTGCGGTGAGAGGGGGTGGGGGTGATTTGGGGTGGGGGG